TTTATATTCTTCTTTCCTTTTATTTAATTAATTAATTAAATAAATAAATAAATAATAAATAAATAAATAAAGGGAAAGAAGAAATATGTATATATATAATATATATTTATTTATATATTTATATATAAATATATATTATATGCCGTATACAATATACAATAATATATTATTTAATTAAACTAAATATCCTATTATTAATTACCTCTTTTACGCCACAAATAAAAAGAAATAAATAAATAAATAAATAAATAAATAAATAAATAAATAAATATAATTAAAATAGTTGAATAAGTAGATATATTTATATACATACATAGTTATATATATAGTTTATTACGGTGTACAGGGAGGTACAAATTAGTTATTTTATTTATTTATAATTAGTAGTTGTACTTGTTTATTTAATAAGGAAAAAAGAGAAAAAAGAAATAAATAAATCCTTATAAGGTGGGTAGTAGTAGTGGTAGTAGTGTATAGCATTCTTATAGTGGAGGTTGTTGTTATAATTGTTATATGGTTATTTATTTGTCCATTTATTGTTTATTAATACAAAAATAATTATTTATTTATATTTAATTAAATAAAAAGGAATGAATGACGTAAAAAAGAGGAAAAAATAAAAAAAGGCAAAGAATAAGACTAAGTGCTCGGGTGTATGTGCAGCTCTTCCTCTACTAGTAGTATTGATTCACTTGTATTTTTGTGTATTTTTTCTTGATTTTATTTGTTTTATTTAATAAAATAATAAATAAATTATAAATAAATATTTATATTGTTTATTTAATGATGAATTTATTGCAAAATATTCATAAAAATTACGCAATATTTGTGCTATTGACTGGTTCCATCGGTCCTTGCTTTCCTTGTATACTTGTGTAGCTTTCCTATGGTAATTATTCTTCTTTATTAATAATAAATAGCTAAATAAAAAGGTATTTTCTTTGTTATTACCTGTATAAGAAAAAAAAGGAAGAAAAAAGGTATTTATTCATCTATTTCTTATCCTTCTTATCCAACTACGGGGCTGAAGTGCGCAAACAACAGACCGAGGTAAGAGGTGCATAATAAGTTTGCATGTATTCATAGACCAAGAAGGAAATATTTTTTCTTCTTTTTATTTAATTTATTCCTTTTTTTATTAATAATAATAATAATTACTCCTTTATGATCAATAATCCTCAATTAGCAGCAGCAGGAGAAGTACCAATACCACCAGCAGCAGCAGTAGCAGCAGTAGTAGCAGCAGCAGCTGCCACAGCAGCAGCAGCGAGTTGCAATAATATATATATATAATATTATAAGGAAGCAGCAGCAGTAGCAGCAGCAAATAATTTATTTGTGTTTCTTCTTTTTTTTCCTCTTTTCTCTTTTATTCAATAAAAAGACTCTTAGTGGTTAATAACACACTGCAGCAGCTAGCTTTCCTTCTTCTCCTTCTTCTCCTTCTGCTGCTGCTGCTGCTGCTGCTGCTATAGTTGCTATTATTGTTGGTGCTATTGCTGCTGTTACTGCTGCTGTTGCTGCAGCTCTAGCATTATTTCTTGGTGTAAAGGAAGGAAAGAATCAACAAGACAAAGGAAAGAACAGCAGCAACAGCTTGCTTCTCTTGCTGCTCCTGCTGCTCCCTCCCTGTTGCTGTTGCTGTTGCTGCTGCTGCTGCTGCTGCTGCTGCTGCTGCTGCTCTTCTTATTAAATAAAGATGGCATTCCCTAAGAAGTTTGGTATAGGTCGTGATACAGGTTCCTCAGACGCACACAACACAGCAGACAGCAGCAGCAGCAGCAGCAGCAGCAGCAGCAGCAGCAGCGAGATGATATACCGTCGTACAGTAACGCAGCCTCCTTCCCCTCGTCCTCGTACCCCATCAGGAGGAGGAGCAGCAGGAGGAGGAGGACCATCATCCTTATCAGCAGTAGTAGGAGGAGGCCCAGGAGTAGGAGGAGCAGGAGCAGCAGCAGCAGCAGCAGCAGGAGCAGCAGGAGGTCAATTGCAGCGGCTATTTAGCGTGATGGATAAATATTTAGAGAATTCTGCTGCAGCACAAGCAGCAGCAAATGCAACAGGATTACGTCCTTCTTTTTTATTTGCTGCTCTTTTTTTCTTCTTATTTATTAGTTTAGCTACAGGTATAGGGGGAGGACTTGTATGTGATGTTGCTGGATTCCTTTATCCAGGTAATTAATTCCTCTTGCTGCTCTTGCTGCTCCTGCTGCTGCTGCTGCTGCTGATCCTGCTGCTGCTGCTGCTGCTGATGGTAGGGGTAGGGGTGGGGGGTATAATAAGGGTAGCAACAGGAGAAAGAGCAACAAATGCAGCAAATGCAGCAACAGCAGCAACAGCAGCAGCAGCAGCAAATCGTAGTTGTAGCAACAATTGCAGCAACTGTAATATACTGTAATAGTTTGCAGCAGCAGCAGCAGCAGCAACAGCAGCAACAGCAGCAATACTAGATGTGTATAGCTAGTATGTAGTAAAGGAATTAACTAATAATTAATTAATAAATATTATATAAATTATA